TAAAAATAATTATAAGTTATAAAATTAAAACTATTCATATTGTATTTTATTTTATTTATAACTATTAATAAAATAATTTTATAAATATAAAGAAAAATATAAAAAAGATAAAAAAATAAAATTAAATTCTTATTATATTTATTATTTTTTTAATTATTATTTTTATTATATTTTTAATAAATATTAATTAATAATTCTTTTATAATTATTATATTAATATTAAATCTTATATCAAATAAAAAATAAAATAATCTTTTCATATAAATAGTTTTTTAAAAATTCTAAGTTTAATAATAATTAATAATTATAAATAAAAAATATTTATATAAATTAAAATTTATATAAATATATAAATAATAATTTTTAATAAATTTTTATTTATTATTTTCTAAAGTATTAGAAATTAAATATTTAATAAAAAAAAATTATTTCAAATAAAAAATATTATATAATTAAAGTTTAATTTTTTAAATTATATCTTATAAAAATTAAAATTTCTTGACTAATCTCTTTAAAAATAATTCAAGTAAAATAATATTAAACTTATTTAATAATATATATTTTTATTAAAAATTAATAGAATAAAATAATTAAAAATTATCAAAAATTATTTGAAATAAAGATAACTAAAAATTCAAGAAATATAAATAATAAATCTGAATCTAAATATATATATATACATAAATTAAAGTACAAAAAGTAATAAATATTAAATATAAGTTTATAAATTTATTAAAGTTTATTCTACTAAAAGTTTAAATTTAAAATTAAATATATAAAATTTATTTCTTATCTAATAAAATAGAAATATTTTATTAAAATTATTATAATTTCAGTGATATTATATTTATATATTCAAAATAACTAAAGAAACTTGAGTATTATAATTAATTAATATTTATAAATTTTAAATATATAAAATTGATTAATTAATTAATAATTAATTAATATTTATTTACTCTTTACATCTATAATACTTAATAGATATTAAAATATTAATATTTACTTTTTTATAAGCAGAAAAAATAAAGATATAATGATAAAATATTAATAATAATTTGTAATAAATATTATTTCTAATCTTCTTATACTTTCAGATTAAAGTTACTAGTATTAAAAAAATCTTTTTTAATAAGTAAAAATATTAAATAATTCTTTATATTATTTATATTATACAAATATAAATACAAAGAATTTTTGACCAAATAACTCAGAATATTAAAACTATTATAATATATAAAAAAAAGATTGATTACAAAAGTCTTATTCAAAATATTATTAATTATTATTTTATTTTTGTAATATAAAATTATATTAAAAAGAATTATATAAAAAATATGTAAATATAAAATTTATAAGTTCATTAATATTTTTTTTTTGCTTTTACAAGTTATTACTATAAATCTGCTAGAATCTTTTTATAACAAATTAAAGAAAATAATATTTTCATTATATAATTGATATATTATAAATATAAATTAATTAGTTGAATAATATTACTTAATACATAAATATTTGTTTTCTAGATTAATTTTTAAGATATTAAAGATTATTTTACGATTGTATTAAATTAGAATATTTACAAAAAAATGCTTAACATTTCAAAAAATATATTAAGAAATCTGTCTTGAGTAATTAATTAAAGTTATTTAGCTGATATAATTATAGTTATTTTCAAAATATTATTTAAAATTATTGTTTTTTAATTACTTATTACATATTATAATTATTAAAGTAATAATTTTTTTTTAGTAATTTTGATAGTAAAAAATAATTTATTTTTAACAAATTTTTTAAATATAGTTAATATTATTCTGAAATTTTATTTTCAAATTCAAATATATATATATATCTTAAGATATTAAAATAAATATATAAATGAAAATCTGTATCAATTTTTAAAAAACAAAATTATTGAATTATTATTAAGAACAAAAATAAATGAAATATTAATATTTATAAATATTATGCCCTAGTTATATATATAATGTAAATAAAATTTTAGATAAAATTATTATGTAAAATAATACTATTTTTAAATAAATTTAACCGCCATTACTTTTCGCCAGAACTGCAACCCGCATTTTATATTTATTTTTTTAATCCACTACCCACCTCATATTATTTTTTTAACCCACCCATCCATCTCATTTTATATATTTTAACCCGCCACCCACCTCATTTTATATTATTTTTTTTCCCATCACCCACCTCATTTTATATTATTTTTTTTAATCCACCCACCCGTCTCATTTATATTTAATTTTTAATTTTTTTTAAATTTTTTTAAGTATTTAATTTTTTTATTAACTTTAGGTGACATCCATGGTATTGTCAAAATTGACAATAAAAAAAGATCAGAATCCGAAAGTGTCACCTTCGACTTTCGTATCAAGAAAGTTTCTGTCGATAATAATATACTCGAGGAAATTCATAAGTTTCCCTTTCCGTTTCAACACTTAGTCGTTAAAAAGCCTGTGCTATAATGGGTAGGCTTGAAAAAGGAAAAGGTGTGTCGGGTTTAATTTCTCTTGACTGTTACTGCTTGTTTCACAATCGATATTTATTACCGTGCAAGCACATTTTTCATTAACACATGTACGGCAATAAATTATTGATCGTTGATGTATGGCGGGAATAGTTGAAGAAAGCGGGTTTGAGGTATATGTAAGCTGGGAAAGTCAGGAATCATTTATTGAATATGCGCGGATGGAACAACAAAAAAGAACTGGAATTCGAGGCTGAATTAACTGAACGAATTCGCAATAGATATTGGAATGTTGAAGAGGCAGGTGATGTTGAGGGGACGGAAACTTTTATTTCTATGTTAGAAGCCTTCTTGAACCGATTATCTTGCAATTTAATCAAGCAAAAGAAAAAATTAAATTATTATTATTTATACAAATTTTTTTAATTGCAATGTTTTTTTCTAATAATGAACTTGATTTTTTTAATAATAACGAACTTTGATTTTTAAACAATCATTTTTTTTTAATAATTATGGTTTTTTTTAATAACGATTTTAACAATAATGCTAATGATTTTAACAATAACGATAAATCTATAAACACTTATGGCGTTTTAGTTAAAATTATTAACGTTAAGAAAAATAAATTCTGCCCAACATTAACGTAGAACCGGTATATTGTCCTCGACTCGACCAATCGGAATCTTTATCCGCATTGACCAATCATAATCCCCTTTTTCACGTGATCCCCTAATAGAAGAGATACAATTTAAAAAGAAATACAAAATTTGTTGAGATTAGATGACTGGAGCTGTACGAAATCCCGAACACAATCCTCGAACGTTCGTGAGCCCGAATGCTCGAAATCCCGTTAGTACATGTATCCCAAATGCATCTTCGTGATTTCGTACCGTTACCAGATTCAAATATACAGTATGTAGTTCATACAATTATTATTATGGATTATTACTCTGCTCACTATTTGTTATTGTTAATGTGATTCTACAATTATCATATCGATATATTAAAAAGGCACGAGTTTCTCATAAATATAAATAACGATCAAAAAGTCATGAGATGAACTTATGGCTTGACTATTTAGCAACCTTATTATGTGGCCGACTCAATGATCACTTTTAAGAATGCATGTAGTACTTTTGGAGCATACAAACTGATATAAAACCTGAATAATCAATACAGGTATGCACTACCTGTAATAATATAATGTCGATATATATGGATTTTCTCATAGCAAACTAAAAACAACAATAAATGATATATTAATGTGAAAAAATTTTATATCGAAATATAGTAATGTGAAAAAATTGCATTTATATAGTAATGTGAAAAATGCCTACATTATCTATTCTTTTCACGTAATTTTTAATAAATGTTATTTTTGAACGAAAACACGCGCGTTTCACATATCATATATATAATGGTCTTTGACTCGAGGAATTCTCACAATCATTGTGGTTGTTTAAACAGTATTTAAGTAGCCTGTCTTTTCACTCACGTTGGTTTTATTAAGTTTGCAACGGTAAACTTTCTTTATTTTTGCATATAAAATGACTAAACGCAAAACAGGCGGTACGTTTGGTTTACTATTTCGTTTATTTCTTCACGGCCAGTTCTTTATGCACTATCGGCATAACTTTGCTCTTTGCTATTTCTCAGACCGGGTTAAGTACGAGAAAGATGGGACCAAATACGATGGCATCATTAAGCATGTTTTTGACTACGACCCGAAAGACAAGAGAGGCCAAAAATACTCTGTCACTGATCCTAACGCGGACACCATTAGTAAGCTTGACCTGTTCATTTTTTTGCTATAACGCGCGTCAAATTAAATATTGTTATATTTTGTAACAAGTCGTCTACGAGGATGAAATAAAGCAAGAATAGAGAACAAAATAATTCGTGAGCAATAAGGCAACAATAATGGACAAATAAAAGTCATAGAAAAATTCGTTAAAGATGATTCATAAAAATTCCATTCGTGTATAAATCGATTTCATATATATTAAAACGCTCCAATAAAAAAATATATTTAGCTGACGTGCATTCATGAAAGCGAAGAGTCGTTTGTTCCGTACAGTATTCATACATAGAATTTCCATTTGTGTGAATTGTGACATCTACAAAGTCAATAGTACATCTCCCTTGATAATGGCCCCGACCAGTTCGGCTTATGTTTTGCTAGATCAATTAAAAGAAAACTCTCAATTATGTATTAAAGAATGACAAACACATAACAAATATTGGATTGGTGGTAAAAAAAGTTTAAAGATCAAACGACGACAATTTCACAAGCAAATGCAATATGCAATTAGCTACATAAAAAAATGAGCATGAAAAAGATAAAATGTCAAATAACATACGCGCTACTATAGCGATTACAGATATGAATACAAACTGACTAAATATTCGATACAATTTAATTATATTCATAGAAATGTTTACCTGCGATTCTAATTTATTCATGTTAGTACTTTGATTCCAATGATTTCCCGGGAAGAACGATTTGATAAACTCTATATAATTTCTAAAGCAGTTGGTCTGTTTTCCGGATAAGGTCCAATAATAAATTTGCACCATCCCGGAAAACATTTAATATGGTAGGTTATAGCTGTCTAAGATCATCATTATAACTCCGATCGCTTATTGCAATCTCAACCCAAACTATAAATCTGCGGCTTGAATATATGGCTTTCCATTTAACACCTCTGGACTCATATAAGAAAGTACTCCGTAACTTCCTTATTTATTATCCGCTGAACTATTAAACAATTTTGGTGATAAAAGTCATGTTGCATTGTAAATGTTGCTCTGATGAAAAATAATAGCGATAGAAATAATTTTGTTTTATGACAAAAACTTTTTATTTTGCGTGTTAGGCACTGGTCCCCCTTTTTTTTTTCTGTCAAAATCCCAACCCTTAGACTATTTCTTTAAATGTTGCTTCTTTTTTTTACTATTCTTTCTAATACTGGCATATGTTGTGATAATTAAATCTTGCTCTAGATCTTGATGCGTTAGTATTCAGCCATTTTTATTTATGTAAAATTGCCTTGTGCATGTATAACGATAAAAATAGTTATCTAGTAACGCTAAAATTAGAGTTGGAGATGAATGTGTTACAATTGGCGTTTTAAACTTTTTTTCTCTTACGTAAAATGCTTGGCATCTAATTGTGTATGTTATAATATTATTATGAAATGGTTTCAATGACATGGCATGGTTTTTAATGAGATTACCACTGCAGCACAGACATCTTGGATTTGTGCCAGGTTTTGTCGATCACCATCCAGCAGCCAATGGGAATACAATAAGAATGCATAAATTTAAAAAAAAATGTTGGGTACCTTTTTTTAAATCTAAAACCTGGCACATGCTTGCTGCACTCGTCATCAAGCAAAGTTTCAGGATGTTAAAATTTCATTAAAAATATCGACAGTAATGATAAAATTGAATGCCTTGTAAAAGAAGGCTTTGGAATCAATGGTTGGACGGATCATTACGTTACGATTTCCAGTGAGATATGTAAAAGTTTAAAAACGAAGTTTTATACGATTCGAAGAAAATTAAAAAATGAACACAAGTCCTAAGTGCAGCATGAATTAAAGCACATATATTATTATCCAATCTAGCTACGTATAAATGAATACCCGATATTAATGAATTATCTTTGCTAATCTCAAATGTGAAAATGGTTGGGGAAAATTTGAATTTTTCGGACGAGGCAATTCGTCGAATGCCATGTCAGCATTTCGCATATACAGTACTTTTGAAAATTGGCGTGTAAGCAATATCGTCATCATAAAAACGTGCTAAAGATTAATTCTATAACAATTAAGTCGGAGAATAACAGTGATAACGGAAAAGAAACCTATTTTTTTCAAAATATAATGATGAAAGGAAAAGTTTTGATGATATTATGCATGTGGTCAAAGTATTTGCCATATAAAATTCATCGAATCAAGTAAAAGAATATGTATATGCTATAAATGATAGTTTTGACGTCAAAGGTCTGATAACCGTAAGTTTTGTGACCCTCATTACATGAGTATTTGGTTATGCATTAGCATAAATGTTGGGTTAATTTTCACTTTCAACTTTCAATTCTCTTTTAGTTACATATATAAACGAAAAAGACCGCTATTTCAAAGAGATTCGTTGAATTTATGTGCTCTTACGGAAAGAAATTTAAGGGTATAATTAGCGATCGTTAAAGCGCATTGATATTAAATTTTTATTTATTCCTCATAATCACAAACAGAAGGCACCCCTTTGATATCATACAGACTTGTTCCAGTGGAAATACGTTCAGCCTTTATTATCCTTTAAGCACGATGAAGGAAAACTCCAAGCTGTTTGGATGGGCAGAAAATCGTTGAATTATCAAAAAAAGATATTCGTAAATTATTTAATATGACAGTATATTTGTAGAACACGATCACACACATGAGATCATACAGATATCATAACAATAAACAATGGTAAATAAGATTCCCAAAATACTTGCAGAATTTTTTATCTATAAAAAAAACCACATATAAAATAGAAATTGGAAAAATGTCAAACGACAACATTTCCGAGCCAATTGCCAGCAGCAACCACATCAACACAGACACTAATACTTCTGGTGACTTACAACAACAAGCTGCAAGTCGAGAACAAAGTTTCGACCCAAATCATCCAACTCAAGAACCTTTTACCGTGCCTGAAGTTGATGGAGTTGACGAATCTTCGTGTGGTAGATGTCAGCACGCTTTATTGTTTTGTATGGGTTCGATTAGTGGATTTATCACGGAGATTTATGGGAAGATTACGAGATTTTTTAAAGGTTGATAGGTTTCGGTGATAGAATGTTAGATCTTTGATAAATTACTTTGTTTGGTACAATGAGAAATTCAATAATTCGTCGCTCTCCGTTTTCTCTGAATGAATAAAATTTTCTTTTGTTCACTAATCTTTATTCAGATAATCTTTGTCTATTCGGACATCAAGCAAAAAAAACGCCACAAATGAGAATTTCAAGGGTTTTTTATGTGTTTTATCAGCCTATCACAATGACTGTTTGACCCCTGAATTTTTTTTTGCACTGTTCATTATCCAAATCGGGCATAATTAGCGTGTGATATATATATATATATAGCCAACTCTTATTTGCACGCCGTTTGAAAATTGCAAATCATTTTTGAAAAGTCGGGCAGTGCTTACTTTTTCGCGCGATTATTCTCTCATACTTAAAGGACACCAAATAAATTGTCATAGCATCCACATTCATTATACACAACGCGTACCTGACATGCATAAGTACAAAATAACACACGCACATGTACTAGTTGGTCTGTGTTTTCTCCTATTATTATTGTTATTATTTGACAAAAATCATTTAACGAATGCGATTGACTCAAATTCAACGACATCGACCACAAAGTAAGCGATTTATGAATTTGAATTTGAATTTTGTAAAACAATCACTTAATCATTTCCATAATATTAGGACACCAATTTCATTAACAACTGTGACGACGGCAACGTTGACCACTAACCAATCGTCACCAGCTACAAATTCACCAACCTCCTCACAAAATAGCAATGCACATAATTGGAGATATCCATCAACCACTATTTATTTAGGGTTCGGTTTCTTGATTTTGAATCTAGCTTTCGCGGTGTTTCTTTAACCTTCACATTCTCCATTTGAGATAATAGCATAATCCGTGCCAAGATATAATGTATAATGTGTAAATGAAAAATAAAAATCTGGTGTTTCATCTAATTTTATCCAAAACCTATAAAAGGAAACTTTTATGGTTAGAGACTTGTTTATCTGTATTTTATGTATCCTTTGACGTGACTTAATAGTAATTGATGATCTTTATATGGTTACTATATCGACATACGTTTTTGGCGTAGAATTTACGTCACGCCAGCAGGCTTGCATTCTCGTTATCGGTGTATTTACCTTATCAAAAATCTATTGTCATTGCATGCATGAATGTACATCGTTACATGCGAAACGTTTAATGTGATCGCCAACAAACACAATTTTTTGTGATAGAAATAAAATTTTGATTTAAATGGCTTCAAACCACGACATGAATGAACGGAACTTTTGTACACAAATCTAACATTTCTACTGTCAATTATATGTAGGTTACAGTTCAACCGGACAAAGCTAGTTGTGCGTCAAATTAGCCATTTTTTCTTCCTTTTTTCGTGAAATTGATTTCATACGGAATACCCTTCCAATGAATTCCTTTAATGATCCCTTCCTTTTGAAAAACCTGTTTTTCAATTTTCGTTTCATGGGAGGATCAGCACCACTGATACCTTTTGTTTCTAAGATTTGCCGAGGTGGATCGTGTGTCCCGGAAGTAAAGTTATCGTTTGCATTAAGTTCTGAAGTAGGGAGTTCAATAGGTGTTGAGGTTTTGTCATTATCACCTACTCCTATCTCATTACCGGCATCACTTTCTTGAACACTTGTCGGATAATTCGAAGACGAGTCCGTTTTCTAAGGATAAAACAAAAAACAAACACACATCAATTAGTCTCTTCAGACATAATGTTTTTGATTTTTTGTGCACGCCAGAAACACATACATTGTCGTCATCCTCTTTCATGTCAAATTTCGATTCATGTTGATTGCCTCGCACTTCCATCGAGTTGTCTTCATTTACATCGAAGTTAAAGAAGACATCATTACCGTGGCCATCGCGTTTTTCCATTCCTGAAGATCTATTTTCTTCCGATTGAACGCCTAAATAGATTTTAACATTATGAGCAAAAAAATATGAACGGTGGCGCCTTTGTAATTTCACTAGTATTCATTATGATTACCTTCATCCTCATCTTCGGTTGCAAAATCATGATCAAGTTTTTGGACGACTGGTGTCAACATCATATCCTCTAATCGTTCACATACTTCCTCGATCGTTGGTCTTTGATCAGGATCCGAATTCCAGCATTTGACATATAGTTGAACATATTCGATTGGTGTTCCAACTACCGGCGATTCACGTTTTCCATTGATAATTTCATTTATAAAATCTTGATCAAATGAGGTGAATGAAAATGGTTGTCGTCCGCTTGATATCTCCCACATTATCATTCCCAAACTATAAACATCTGATCGTGAATCTGGAGTTAAATTTGGATTCGCCAATAATTTTGGATCAATGAACGGCAAAATATCTTGTGATGATGATGAATGATATTCCAAAGTAAACGTGATTGGATCTGTCAAAGATGATCTACCACGGTTTATTAGGATATTAGATGAATTCTAATAAAACACGAAAAGAAATTAGTTTACACGTAATCATGTAGTTGCATTATGGATTATTCTTTTACCAAATGACGATGTATTATTCCTGATTTGTGTAAATGAAGAAGTGCATACGCAATGCCTTTCGTTAGTCGTAACTTATCCACCCAAGACATCTCTCTTGAATTTTTTTCCAAATATAAATGTAAATCGTCATTGTCCACATGTTGTAGTACTAAAAGATATTTTTTCGATTCCGGATCTAATGGTAATTAAAGAAGCGTCTATTTAATAAAGAAACGAGATCCATAAATGCCGTTTTTATATTTATCAAAGAATAATTACCTTTTGTTATACAATGATATTGTAGAATGTTTTCATGAATTGTTAGTTTCTTGAGCGAACGTAACTGTGGAAAAAAAATTAAGCTTAAACTAATTATTAATTATTAATAATCCATTAAACACATGTCTCTTACCTCGTTATAGAGCTTTTCACTTTTTTCCTCGTCATTTTTTATTATTTCAGGCAATTCCTTTAGTGCAACTTCTTTTGAACGAAAGGTCCAGAATCCAGTTCTCATGGTGCTTTTAGCATTGTCTTTACGTTTCAAAAGAGTAACATCTTCAAATTGTAAATATGGATAAAATTTAATGCCCAATTCTTCACCAAGAAAACCTACAAGGTTTTTTTGATCGTGTTTTTCGATATGATTACTGTTGATATCGATTCTATTCTTCACAGAGTTCGCCTCCTCTTGAGCGGTAGTGAGACTAATGGTGGGTGTGAGAATAGTTGTAGTAGTCGACATTTTTTTTATCTATGCGTGAAGCCGTGTAATAGAATAACTGTATAAAAAGAACTACTTTATTATTGGTGTTTGTTATTTAAAATTCTAACGTGCTGTTGTTCTACGAGACGTATGTTCGTTAAAGTTCAAATTTTCTCCTTTTTATTTGCGAGTATAAAGAAAAAAAATTCACACATGCTAACGTTAAAAAAACGAATACTTTCAAAAAAGGGTGGTTTTTTGTGTTGTGTGCGTGCGACAAAATTTTAGCTCATGTGGATTGTTGTATGGGTCTTCATGGAAGGGAGGGTAGCATAGATCAAGTTTAAAAACTAGTTTTAACTTTCTTGTCTGGTACATGAGCATGAGAATACATAAAAAAATATAAATACATGTATCATTGAAAACATATGTGTGCATATATAGTAATGGAAAATCTTGATTGGATACACGAGGATGTATCGCAATTTGAAACAAAAATAGAAATGCGTATTATGCATGCTTAAGGTTAAACGTAGCCTTAAAAGAGTTTCCATTATCGTTTGTGCTTCCGAATGACCATCCACCGGATGTATGACATTTATTTTTTTTATTTTCCAAAGTTAAATTTAATTTAGTTAATTACATATAGAACTAACCCACTAAACTCTGAAAATATCTGATCTATTGTCACTATTGTTATCATCATCCTCCTCCTCCTCATCAGAGCCAAATGACAACAACGGCGGTCTTGCAGCATCTTCCAGTCCTAGTTTCTGATGGAACAACTGTCTCGTATAAATATTTTCTTCGGGTGAAGTCGATGTAGACTACAAAATATTCGGGAAAAAAAAGGTGGGATCATTAAGATTGAGAAATCCAATAACCATTAAAAAAATTACCCGCTCATCGGTTCCATCTCGAGATGAAGGTGAAGATAAACTAATCTCTAGATCGACATCCATACGGTCATCGTCTTTAAACATTTTAGGAATTGGAGAAGGCGAAGGAGGATCATAATTTGGAACCGATGGTGGTGGCCATACAGAGGAAATACGCTTCGCTGAATTACGTGTATTAATGGGTTGGTGACTCGGCCTATGCGGCGTGGAATATAATGAATTGGCAGTGGGTGATGATTGTGAGGTCCATCTATGAGTTTGAGCATGGGGTTGAGGTGTTGTTGAATTGTTATTGTTGCTGATACTGCTGATGGATAATCCGATCGAGTATGGTGTTGATGGTGTTGACTTAATAGTTCCATCAAATGTGTCACTCTTAAATTATTAATTAATATGCAGGATATCAGAATTGGATATATTTAGGGATAAAACAACGACAAAAGAACACACTTTGTATTGTGAAGAACAATCCTTATTTTGCCATTGTTGTTGTTGCTGCTGTTGCTCTAATGACTGTTCAAAGCCTGAGGAGTTACTGCCACCCCTAAAAAATAAGTTACTAACACCACTTTCAGAGATATCATCTTGTTCTACCACGGGGGCTCTTTTGCCATGCTTTCCCGCACTTTTGATGCCATACGAACCAGCGGTACGAGATGATTTTCCGAACGCACGATTTAATTTGGGTATGCGTCGTGAACTTGTCATGTCTTGAGCCATTTCGGTCATCTTTCTCTGTTATTTTTTTCAGATAACGATAAACAATATGCTTGTAATGATTCGAATGAAGGAATAAACAATAATACCTGCATGAGTGCATATTTTTCATTCAACCTGCGAGTTTTTCCTCTTTTCAATTCGAGAGAACACGATTCTTTTTCCCATTCAACAGACGAATTATCACCGACTTTACCTCCTGAAACAGAGGGATTTATTGTTGATGAGGTGCTTGCTTGACTAATTCCATATTGGTCATCCTCTTGATTGTCTTCAAGAATTTGGATGGGCGTGGTTGGGCAACCATCTTTTTTTCGAGAAAAAAAATGGGTATGTCACTTAATCTTTAAATAAAATTAAATCCAAAACTTGATTTATAATACCGTCACTCTCAATTGGTGTTATATTTTTCACGATGGTCTTGGATATTCTGATATATGCAAAACAAAAAATTACTTTAAATTTCAAAAGATTTCATGGATAAAGAGATGATACCTAGAAAAAGGGACATTTTGAAGTTCACGCTTTGGTGAAAAGTTTTTCGGCGGTGACGAATAGTATGTCATTTTCGACCATACGCGTGAAGGTGAGAAAAGAAAGAAATACAATCTTTTAGAGTAAATATTAATGCAATCATAACTAAATTTTTTTAATAAATTTGACTTTTAATAAAACGTAATCAAGATTTTGATATTTGGTAAATTCAAAATACAACTGGCTCTCGAGAATAGAAAGACTGATTAAGATTCGATATAAGTTGAGTCCCAATCTATAATAAATTCACTTGAATAAATAAGTTACTAACAAACACTCGATATAAGAAAATTTTAACTATGGACCCGAACACCCTTCTTACATCGAGAGTCTTAAATATACAAGGATGTTTGAGTCTATTAATATTACATTTTTTTGCTTATTTTCACGAACATATTCACATAAAGAAGATTACAAATTAAATTTTAATAATTCAAGGTATTTATATATGTAATTTTAAATCTCTATCGCGCAACACGGCCAGAATTCTGGCATGAGAGATGTATTCGGCAACGAATCTTGTGTAATTCCTTCATCGCCACAAGCCTATTGAAAAGCCATTATATTTAAATTGCCTTCAGTATTTTTGCATGGTAATAAATTTAACTCACTAGGCAGAAAGCCCATCTACGAAGCATTACTTCATTTAACCTTAGATGATGATTTTCGTCGATTTGAAAGCACCCTTTGCGATGAATAGTACAAGTTCCGACATACTTTTTCAGGAGCAACGAGTGCATCCTTTGGTAGTGCGATTGAAAATCTTCAATTCGCTAGACATTAATTGACATAATTTATTAAAGAAACTTGAAAGTCAAACAATGGAGAAATATATAATCACTGGTTGTTGCTCTTGCATATTATTTTCAATATTTGAGCTATTCGTCAGATCTTTGGTGCTGCTCGCGCAATTACTTAAAGGCTCTATTTTTAATAATTATAATTCAGATCGCAATCAAAAGTGACATTTCCATATAACGATAAGAGAACATACTATCGCGTAATGGTGCTTTGATTCTCTCGATCTGATGTTTATTCTCGAGCATTTTCAACGCTTGTTCAATTCTAGGATCATGCTTCGCCATATTCCAATTTTTTCGGTATTCGACAATCTCATTGTTTTGATGATATTTTTCGAGAAAGTATATCCACCACCTTACACTTCTCGCGGTATTGGTTCTACCCTTATATTCGATATACTTTACTAGATTTCTAGCAGAAACTGGAAATACTGTCCCATCTTCATTAAACCATTTTTGATGGGTTGCGAGGTTCTTGTAGGAACGTGTGACGTCTTCCATTCTTTTAATCGTTCTTTCTGAAATTGATCTTCGCATAGGCGCCATTTATTCCTTCTTTTCGTGCCTTAATGAAAGGCTTTATATATGTTTTTAAATTATAAATTTTGGAACTAGTAAAAGAGTGCTAGGAGAGGATTAAAGAAAGCAATGATTAAGTTAATATTAACAAGTGCTTGATAAATGATCTGATGTATAACGATAAATTTATTCATGATTAACGTTAACATGCAAATTGCTAAAAAGCACGGACACTCGAAACCTTCGATACAACGACAAAGCACATGATATTTAAGAATGATCCTGAAATACATCCTCGCAGTAATAAATATGAAGAATGTCTAAAAATCTAAAATTCATATCTTATGTCTCTGAAGACTTATTCTATAAAATTGTAGGAGATGTTAGCCACATTCCAAAATACATGTAGCATGTTCGTCAAATTTTGCCCTAAACTCTGAGAAATTTTCTATTGGATTTTTGCAATTCATCAAATAGACTGAGGAAGAGTTGCAATAAATTATAGGGTATGATTGTCTTACAAGTCGGAAAAATTTGAGGATACCCTACAATAACGAAGTCAATTAAGAAAATCTAGGATAATCAAATGAAATATCAAATTATCAAAAGAATGGTAAATTCGCAAAATAGCTAACGACGCTTATTGTATGGTTTTAAAGAAGATATGGTCTTTGAGGAGGTAGAATTTTCTTAATAAACTAATTATTATGATGCTTGCATGATCCTTCTATTGTACTTTCTCTCATTTCCTGAAGAACCAAATTACATATTCAATCTGGATATAATGTGAACTCACTTTGTGGTGAATACTAATTAAACTCGGAATATGATGAATTTGAGTTCCAGACCCATTTATAATAAAATCCTTGGATGTAATGGAATTTACAATCGCATTCGTTATATCAAGAGTTATCATAGGGACTAAAATTTAGGGACTGAAATCGATAATTGAAGTACATGTGTAGTAAAAATCGAACTACATGTATCTGATAAGATAGAATTTATTAATACACAAATATGGGTCAGTGCAAAAAGATTTGTACACTAATATAAAATTAAATAATTACTTCTAATAAAAATCATTCAAATTTTAATCAATCTTTATAATTTTTTTATATTAAATAAAAAATGATCT